GGGGGGGGGGGAAGTGGGGTTACTCATGTGTACGGATGGCCAAGTCGTTAGACCATAGACTTCGCATCCGTGCAACGCTGGGACGGAGCGATATACCGGGTTTCCACCGGCCCAGGCTGCGTTTCGAAAGGATGACCCAGAAGCTGGCCATTATCCTTGCATTTGTTGCCAAATGAGTGACCCACAAATGCAGTGGGGGGGAGGGGTAGCACTCTTAGGTTTTTCATGCCTCAGCGGTTTGACCATTGACCACGCGTCTTCGAGAGGACGGAGCATTGTTCCCACAGTACGGATCACGAATGGCCAATCATGCCTCCCTACTTTACCGGGAGCGGTGGGGGAGCGCAAACAACTTGCTGGTCATCAAGTGCCCCCCTCCTTCCCCCCCCCCCCCCCCCCCCCCCCCCCCCCCCCCCCCCCCCCNCCCCCCCCCCCCCCACCGCCTCCGAACCCCCGTAGGGAGGCTCTCTCTCGAGGAATCGCAGGAGCTGCTGCTGCGAACGAGCAACGACGACGACATCACCCCCGGCAGCAGCACCGAAACCGCCGCAAGCTTGCCCCATGGAAACCCGGGGACGATGTCGTCCCCATCCCCCCTCACCACCACCACACGGAACGGCGTACCAGCTCCGCCAGCGGCGGTGAGGCTGGGAGCGGGAGCTTCTGATTGGTCGGGGGGCGCGGTGACGGCGGGGCTCGCGCTCTCAATGGAGGGGCGGCACTCGCTGCTGTCTGCGACATATGAGCACGTCCTGGGGGATGGCCTGAGGACCCTGGTCCGGGACGTGGAGCGCGCGGTGTCGAGGTGCACGTGCAGGTACAAACGTGCCGATTATATTCTCGCTAGCTGTTGCTGATGGTGATATATAGTTCTGCTGCCGCTGCTGGCATGGTTTGCTACGATGATGGTGATATGCTATGTATATGTAGTTCCAGGGATGTTCACGGTGCGGTTAACCGCACCGCACCGTCATATTTCGAGATGAACAAAAACGCACCGCACCGTCACATTTCGAGATAAAAAAAACGCACCGCACCGCACCGCACCGCACCGCACCGCACCGCACCGCACCGCACCGGAAGGATTCACAAATAGCCGTAGTTGCGGTTCTGTCGCAGTAGGTGTCCCTTCCCCGTGGCTAAAACCGCAGTAAACCGCGGTAAGAACTGCAGTAATGCACGCTTTTGTCTTTAAGACACACAGCAGGAACATTGCACTTTTTTTTTTCTTTTATTCCAGCACACACGCAACACCGCCATCTGGTTGTAGCCAGTGGCGAGCATGAGCCGCCTGGTGGTGCTGCCAGATTTTTTTCTTAATTTTTTTCTGGCATATTCTAACTACAGCAGTAGTAGAAGCAAGTGAGGAATGTAGCTGCTGTTGATACGTGTTGTAGGAACGTATGGTAGCTGGAAAAATGAAATGAATGATCGGCAGCTTCTTTGTTGTCTGGTGTTTTCGGGTTTTCTTACCGCAAGCCACGGGATCTGTCGTGGCGGCCTCATATAGATGGACAAATTCTCGCGTATTCCACAAAAAAGTACAAATGGTAGAGACCCCGTCATTTGTCACGGACATCCGTGTAGGGCTGTCCGCGGTTTTATTCGACGGTGCACCGCCGCCAAGGCCGCGGTTCGCCCGGTTTTAATTTCGGGGTAGGAAACCGCATCGTAAAGTAACACCGTTGGACGGTGAACTGCTTCGCACCGCACCGTCAAATGTCGAGATGAAGAAACCGCTCCGCACCTTCATCAAGTCAACCAACAAGAAAACGCACCGTGGTGGTTCCACACCCTGAACATCCTTGTATAGTTCTGCTGCCGTTGTCGGCATTGGGTGTTGCATCTGTTGGTCTTGCTGATGATGATGATGGCGATGTGTACGGTAGTGGCGGGGCCCTCTTCGTCGCGATTTACAATGTCGGCCCCTCCCCCTCGGCTCCGAAACGGAACCTTTGACTGTTGATGGCCTCACATACTCCCCGCCCATTCCACGCTCGCCCCCACATCCACGCGCGCTGCTGTTTCTTGGCGGCCGCGGGATGTTGCCAGCTGGAAGGCGCACACTCGGCAGCAAGTGGAGTTCCAAGACTTGGTAGCAGTCATCCGCAGGGTGCGGCGAGAAGTGGAGGGGCCGATAGGGGGCTCCGCGTACTACGGCGGAGGAGGCGACTTTAACGGGGTAGGGGGTGCAGTGGGGGAGGGGCTTGGGAGATCGTCTGGCATAAGGCACGCCTTGCTGCTGCGGTACATCATCAATCCTTCGGACGGTACGTTTTTTTTTTTTTGTAGAGGACTCGGGGGGGGCGAGGCTATTCATGAAGCGTGTAGCGCGCTCCCTGCTGTTGTTGGTACTGCTGCTACTGCTGCTGCTGTTGCTGCCGTTTGTATGCGCGGGGAGGTTAGGCGTACTCAGTGGAGGGTGGGGGGGAGTGAAGACGTTTCTGTCGCAAGTTACGCCAAGGTACGTCAAGCCAAAGCCCCGAGACTCACAAGCGCCAGTGATGTTGCGCTTTTTTTTTGGGGGGGGGGGCGGGTCGTTTCTTTTGGCATGAGGCCCGTTGTGGGCGCATCCGTGTGATGCCCGTATCGTTACGCGTGCTCTTTCAATTGGTTCTTCCTGTCCTCTCTCTCTCTCTCTCTCTCTCTCTCTCTCTCTCTCTCTCTGTTGAGCATCCCTTTGAAGCAGACTGTTCAAAACCTACTCCAACGTGGAAGAATGTAGCAACACATACAGGTGAAAGCTACAGCAGTACGCATCGCGTATTGTCGCAAGACCCCAACACAACCTTCAAAGTATGTTACACAAGACCCTAACGCATACATACGCTAGAAGACCCCAACACATGACCCAACAACGCCTCAAAAACGTTTGCGATGACCCAGGTATCGGCGGCATTGCAGCAGCAGCGACGACCGCAGCACCAGCCCCCACCAACGACACCACCTTGGAAGGCGTCATCGTCAACGGTAGCGTCACCGATACCGCCAGCGCCGGCAGCACGGCGGGGGGTAGGAATGGTGGCGTCTCCTCTCTCGGCGGTGGCGCCGGTGTGGGGGGCACCGCCAGTGGTACGCTTTTGCAGGGGGTGGGGGAGGTGCTCAACGAGACGTGGGACACTGCGGAGAGCCCCAACTTCGGGGCGGCGCTACAGGCAAGGCAACCGGCAGCCCGAAAAACGCTCTACTTGACAGTGTGGAACACCTATGTATTGTTCCGAGACACTTCCCTGGGTCTGAAGTTGTCGACAGGTGTCGTCGAAGTGGTTCGCGTTGTATGTCGGAGGTGTGTTCTTTTTTTTTGGTCTTGTGGGCATTTTTTAGGTCGGCTTCCGGAAGGGACTTGACGTAGTTGTTCTGGGGTAGGCGTGTTTGATGTTGGCTTCTTCCCCTTGAAAGGGGAAAGTCTCAACAGAGGTTGTGGTGTTGTCGTTGTTGGTGGTCTTTATTGCGGGTGCAGCCGGCGTTGCTGTTGTTGCAGCTTCCCTCGGGTTTCGGTTGGATAGGCCTTGTCCCATTCTGCTCGGGCGTCAAAAAGCAGAAAATCATGTAGAAATTTTGGGCAGAAGTCGAGAGCACATATCACCGAACTGCGCATAGTTGGCGAAAAATCGAGCATAAATGTCAGTTTTGGTCATTTTTCTTGGTATTGTTGGCCAAATTCAAAAGTGTATGCTCGCGAAAAAAGAGGGACAGAAAAAAAAAAAGCAGAATTGGGCAAGGACCTAATATTGGAGTACATCAATTGCTCCCCCAACCCCGTTCCCCTCTCATGCATGTTCTTTTCTTTGCTTATCGAACCGCACGCAGAGCTGCCTCGACGCCACGTTCGGCATGGTCTACGAGCAGCTTAGGCAGAAGGCGTTTTGCCGGGGGTCTACCACCGGCGGCGGGAGGCGGCAGCATAGGGGGGTGGCCGCCGCCGCCGCCGGCAGCGAGGATGTGGGCGGAGGGCGAGCCGCGGGACTCCCTTCTGAACCCACGGCCCCCCCTTCTGAACCCGCAAGCGCAACAACGGGACCAGCGGCGGGCACCTCCGGTGACAGTGGAGGACTACCGGCCGGGGTAGCTGCAGCGCATGCTGCGGGAGGAGGCGGCGCGGTTGGTTTTGTCGCCGCTGCGCCTGCTGTGGCAGAGAGAGAAGAGTCCGCGCAGGTGAAGAGGCCGAGTTCGTTCTTCATGTAGTGGTGTTCAGCAATGCAAGGGAATCATGTCGTTTGTCGAGAGAAAGCAGCGAACGGGCCGGTAGCGGCGGGGGACGCGCGAGAAGGGTTGGGGGGTTATAGCTGGGGTTCTAGGTCGTCGAGCAGGGGGGCAGAGGCAATACAGGTGGTCTACCTCTCTGCACATTTGCTTCTTGAATTATTCGTAGAAAAGATGCATTCAATCACGAAACACTTCCCATTCTTCCTTGGTATGCATAGAATCGTTCTGATTCAGCGCGTCGTTACGTTTGCCGGGTTGCTTCAGGCTGTGCGACAACGGGGGTGGTCCTGTCGAACCGCAATCCCCCTTACGCCTTTGAAAAGAGGCAATCCACACTAGATTACAATAGTGACATCGCTCGGCATTCGTATCTCGTTCTCGTCGCCCTTGCTCCTGTTGCTTCTCGATCTCTTTCTCCCGCAAGTGTTTCCCCGTCTTCACATCTTCATTACGCCCCCCCCCCCGTATGGTTCAACGTACAGCGTGGGCCGGCGAAAATCCCGGCATATCGCTCCGTGCCGCCGCTGTAGGGATGCGGGGTCCATGGTCTAACGACTACGGCATGCGTTTCCATGAGTACACCCCCTGTCTCTGTCTTTGCTCCCGCTCCCTCGCTTTGCCAGTAGCCATCGCAAAAAAAAAATTATGAAGTAAACGTGTTGGAGAAAGCATGCAATCGAGGAAAGTTGGGTTATTGGTAAAGAGAGTCTGCTTCTCCCCTCTCCGTGTTATGTTTCCTCATGAGCTTAATTTCTCGCAAAGGCGGTCTCCCGCTCTCTATCGCTTATCTAGACTCTCGCCGCGGCTGCGGCCGGTGCCAAACCCATGCGCAGGTCCTCGCCACCGTGATCTCTCAAGCCAAGCTGGTCGTCAGCGAGATCCTGGAAGCTTCCCCGGGCAACGAGTACGCCCAAGCGGTGGCCTCTCTCCCCTCCGTCCAAGACTTGTGCTTCTCGGTGTTCTCCGGTGGGGCGGCCACAGCATCAGCGGGGGGGACGCAGCTGTACAACAACCCTACTGCTGCTGCTGCTGCTGCTGCTGCGGGACCCCGTGTCATCTCCTCCCCTAGCCCGAACGCTGCTGTGCGTAGTGAGGGTGGCGTTGGGGATCGTGGCCTCCCTCCTCAAGACCCGCTGCGTGTGGGAAGCGCCGGAGGGTTCGGAGGAGGCGGTGTTGGTGTCGGCGGGGGCGACAGCAGCGGGCTGCTGCTGGGCGCCGCCGCTGCCAGACGACCCGCTCGATGACGTCACACAGGCTTGATGACGGATTTTTCAACCGGCTCGATGACGTCGCAGGGCTCGGCGACAATTTTCAACAGGCTCCATGACGTCACGCACGAGGTTGGTGACATTTTTCAACCGTCTCGATGACGTCACAGGGGCTTGGTGACGGGTTTTTTCAAGGGTACGTTGCACAGGTGGAGATGAACCAGTGTTGTTCAGAGTGACACGCACAGCACAGTTCCCGCCACCGGCCGCCGTCGCAACAACGAGACTGGCGCGCAGCAGCGAATTGGGTGGCTGGCAGCCTCGCGTGGAGATCGCAGTGGAGCTTGCAGTACGACATGTTTTTCTAGCAAGCGTACGAAGTCGGCGTTGCCAAATCCCGAACCCCTTTTTTTGTTCTTGGCGTTAGGCTTCAAGTTTGAGAGTTCGCTGCTGGGGAAGGTTAGGCCTACGAGAGCTCTCGACATCCCATGGAACCGCATTCTTCGGCCGGTTTCCCAGCGTCTGTTTGGAAAACCGGTTCGCTTGTGGTGAAGTGTACTCGTGCAAACGCATGCCGTAGTCGTTAGACCATTCACGTGGCATCCCTACAATGCCGAGACGGTTCGCTTGAGGTGGTGGGAGGTTATCATGGGTCAGCAGGGGGCATCGTAGACGAAACTTTGTAGTACCACACGTTTTTGAGTCGTGGGGGCTGCCTTGTGAGAGAGTTTTCGTTTCGGAGGTGAACCTGTAGGGAGGCCGAGGTAATTGTAGTTGTAGAGCATCGATCGGTCTAGTTGTACAAGTACCTATTAAGTAGCTTAACTTGTTGGGAAGCGACTACATCTCTCAGCCTTTCGTCTTGATTCATCGCCATTTTGCGTGATTTGACCGGTAGCAACAAGCCTTGATTGTGATCAGTTGGAGAGCGGGGCCAAGTGTATGCTCCGGGGGGATCTCTTCTGTTTATGGTCCATCCCGCATGTGCCACTGCCGTGCCCGCACCTGTCCATACACCAGACACCACCTTCCATCGAGGGTTTACCCTTCCTTCTCTTTGTTTCTTCCTCTTAACGAAAAAAAAAAGAATAAGAAAGCCCTATCAATCGACACGCGTAGGATAGAGTTGAGTGAATTTATTCCGTCGGTACCTTTTTTCATGTCGTCTTGAAAGAAAAATGTTTTCACTGGTCGTTCGTCTGTCGTCCACTTGAACAGATGAATGACGGTTCTGTCGCTGAATCCTCTGTAGGCCACGGTCGGTCAACCGTTCCCGAATGCCCTGTGTCTGTCGCATGCCGTGACGCACTCAACTGTGCAAAATTGTGGATGCACGGTTCCGGTGCTTGTGACCGCTGAACGCGCCAGTCGTCCCAACATCTTCTATGTCAGCACGATAGTGCGGTGGGGGTGCCACATGAAGGTTTGCATCTCGCAACAGCAACAACTACGCACCAACCCACCCACCATTATTAGACTATGCTCAACACCAACAGACCAAGACAACACAACGTGCCGTTCTTTCTCCGGGGGGAAAGGGATCCTGCAACAACTCGGTGGCCATCCTATCCTGATTGATACCCATGCATGCACCACGTCATCGGTCCCGAAAGAGTCTGTGATGGAGGCGTGGACACGATCTGCACTCTAGATTAGGTGTTGGAGAAACAAACACGCAAACAGCTCACAACCGTTGCCAACAGATACTGCCTTCAACGGGGACCCGCCCTACTCCGGGGCGCGATATTGCGGGACTCCTAATGCCAACGTCGAAAAATCCCTTCCTACACTTCTTGTTCAACAAGCGCACCCATTACCCGGTGTTCATTTGTTTTGATGTAGCAAGGGTGTGATCGGCAGTCCCTCTCTACCGCTGGCTCCTGTCCCACACACGCACCTGTACATGGATGACATACTCTATTGTCACTCGTACCACCACGCCCACGTGTTACGCGTATGACACCCCCTCCGCACATAATCGCTTCCGCACGGAACTAACGGATAGAGCACATACCTACAGCAATGTAGCAGAAATGTCACGTTTTATTGCCAGTACAGAACGCCGTGAAAGCCACCGATTTTTACAAGACCAACTGGCTGCTTCCACACACCGATCATTCCTCTCCCCGGTAATTGTTACCCGTAACAATGCCGGCTGTCCGTATTTATCCCCGGTATTCGTCGCCAACGTCGCCGATCACCGTCATCAGGTCGCGGGACTGCTCCGTCACCGCCGCTATCCTGCGGATGAACGCAAAATGAACAAAAACAAAATGCGGTCATGACGGTAACAACGGAGCGTTATGACGCTATCAATATCGTTCAGCAGTGCCTGCGCGGCAACAGAAAAGTTGGGGAGCTTCGGGTCGGGGGGGGGGGGGAGAAAGCA